TATTTATTAGAGAGAGCACGCATGCACGAGTTGGGGGCAGAGGGAAAGACAATCTCACGCAGACCCCCCGCTGAGCGCAGAGCCCGACACAGGGCTGGACCCCACAACCGTGATATCATGCCCTGGGCTGAAATCAAGAGTCAGACGTGTGACCCAGGGGCCTCTCCAATAAGGTTTTTTTCAAAAAGGAACTTTAAGCTGGTCTTAAAATTCAGATGGGAAAGCAGAGGGCCAAGAACAGCTACGACTCTCCTGAAGAAGGACATGGGGGCAGAGCTGTGCTTGGGGACAGGGCAGAGTTCGGGAACAGCCTGGAGCACGCACACCTGGGTGCTAGGAAGAGTGGAGGCCACGCGAGTTCCGTGGACACACGGAAACACCAGTCATTCCGACGGGACAAATCAGGGCCTTTCACACCACGCGTGAAAACAATTTCCAATGAACTAAGGGTTTACACGAACAAAGCAAAGCTTTGTAACTTTAGATGAACATATGGGAAAATGTATTTAAGAACCTGGGGCAGAAAAGGATTTTTTAGACGAGGAAAACAAACCATAAAAAAGATGAATGCACTTAAACACATTAAAATTTAAAAACTATTCACATCAATAGATACCATTAAACAAAATAAAAGGCTTAACCAATGCATAATCAAGAAAATTACCAACCAAATAGGAAATGGGCAAAGAACATGAACAGGAAATTCACAGAACAGAACCTCAAAGGCCAGGAAATGTTTTCAGAATATCCCGCCGAAGCAGCAACCCGGGGAAAGCAAATTAAAGAGATTCAAAAAAGTAAATAAAATAAAACAAAGAAATCCTATTTAATCACACCCAGCGCCACGGCAAAGATGCAGTCTGTCCCTCTATGTGGTCTGGAGGCCGGCTACGTGGCACGGCCTTTTTGGGAACAGGCCCATGCCAATGACCACACGATCCATGAAAGTGCCCCCGGGAGCAGGTGGGCCCGCGTGGCGACTCAGAGCTCAGGCCCGCGAACACAGTGGCAGTGGACGGCGTGAGGCGGGCAGCCGGTCTGTGTCGACTCTGAAGCGACGCGGCAGGCGCACCTGCACGGGCCCCGCTCGGCGGGGGGGGGGGGGGGGGGGGGGGGGGCTGCTGTTACTTCCTGAGCAGGGTATGAGGCAAGTCCTGCTGGAGGCCAGACCTGATGCGCTGGGTGGACATGGCCCTGCCCGGTCTCCTTTCTTCTGTTCTCAGTGTTTAAAATTATTAAAGAAAAGATGTTCTTGATCCCGTGTGAACAGATCCCCCCGATCGGGGAGGGAGAGGCTGGGATCCTGTGCAGGCTACCTAGGGAGCATGGGGTCCCAGGCTGGAGCCTCCTGCCTCCTGCTGCGGGCTCCAGCATGGCCCTGAGTTCTCCTTGACCCTGCTCTGGGCCTCTCTGGCCACTGCGGGACCGTGGGCATCTGGCCCTGGCAGGTGGCTTCAGGGCCTAGATCTGCGTTGTGTGTAGACATTTGCGTGCACGTGTGTGAGTATCCGTGTATGCGTGCATAGCTGCTCAAGTGTGTACGTCTGCATGTCCACAGGCGTGTGGCATGCACACCCGTTTGGCCGGTGCCATCACGTTGCCTGCTCACTAAGACGTGGCTCCTCCCGGTTGAGGCAGGAGCTAACAGGGGGTCCCAGGTGCAGTCAGACACGGCTGCTTGGTGGTGGTGTCTCCACGGTTTTATTGTGTGCTGGCGGGGAGAGGGCCGCCAGGCCGGAATGGAGCCGACTGACCGCTTCCCGGCCTGCAGCCACTACAGGGCACCCAAAGGGCAGTGTGTCTGTAAGCAGAAGGTTAGTGGGGGGCGCTCCCCACAAGCCGACGCCAAACACCGGAGCCTGGGAGGGCTGCTCCTCGAGGAAGCACGGACGTGCAGTGCACACAGCTGGGTCACACCCAGAAGTGGGCACAGGAGCTCACGGACAGGGCTGCCCGTGCGTACGTGTTCATGTGCTCACCCCCACGTGCACCTGTGTGCACACGTCACACCTGCGGGAAAGCCCGTGTGCCAGCAGACGCAGAGGGACGGAGCCTTCCGAGAGGGCCCAGGCCACTTGGCCCAGCTCCAGGTGGAGTGCCTCGTGGTCTCGGAGAGACCAGGTTAGGTGGGACCACGGTCACAGTGTGGGGACGGCCCCACCTGGGAGACGCAGCCTGGTCCCCTCACCATTCTGAGCTCTGTTCCTGCACCCCAGGTTTGGGGCCAAACCCCTGAATGAAGGACCTGGAACACCCACCTGTTTGGGACCGAGGGCCACATGGGAAGCCCCCTTGCCGGGCCTGTGGCCTGCACCAGGCACAGGGAGGGACCTTCAGTAATGAGATTTCCCCCAAATCCTCCTGCCCTCATGCGTGGGCGCCCTTGTCCCTGTCTGCCTGAGGAGACAGACTCGGAGAAGCACGTGGGCTGGTGGGCGGGTGTCAGGGCTGTCCCCAGGCCCTGGCTGCCCACCGAAGTGCTTTTCCCCATGGAGGTGTCCCCGACCCGGAACCCAGAAGAGGGAAGGGAAAGCGTGGTTGCTGGGAGGGAAGGTTCATGTTTTAACAGAGGACACGCTGTCCCCCGCAGGCAGGGTGAAGGGCTGCTCTGACCTCTGCACAGAGCTGGGGTGGGGACATGGGCCCGCGGGCACAGCAGGCCAGGGCACAGCGGTCCCAGCACAGTGTGTGCTGGAAGGGCCGCCCAGCAGCCACGGCCAAGCATGCAGGACCGCAACCCTGAGCAACTGACCAGAGACGCAGGGTCCACAAGGAGACGACGGTCCCACCGCAGCTGCCATGGACACAGGGACGCGAGCCGAGCATCCGGCAGCCCAGGACAGTCAAGGGGCGGCAGAGAGAGGCGGACACAGGACAGACGGTCACCAGGTCACACGGAAGTCAGGCCACGCTGACAACCAGAACCACAGTTTTCAAATCCACTGTTCAAGGCTTGAATCTTCTTCAAAACCTTTTTATGTAGAAACCCCAGACGAGACAGAAGGGAGCCGGAGGTTCAGGGCACGAGCGGACCCCAGGGGCCCTCGAGTGACTTGTGACTGGCCTACCCGGGTGGGGTGGGGGTGCCCAGGGCACCGTGCGGGTGTGGTGCCCCACATGGGGCTGCTTCTGTCCGTTGGGCACTGTTTCCATGGAGACGCTATCCTCCCAACAGACCTGAGCAGAGCCCGGCTCCGACGCCGCTCCCCGACGGCAAGGCCAGGCTTCGCGCACCAGGACCTGGCTCTCAGCGCCGCCCGCCCTCTGTGGGCCTCGGAGCACTCCCACCACTTCACCCCTCGGGGCACATGGCTCCCGCCCTGGGCTGTGGGGGGTTGGGGGTGGTGTCCCAGCCTCACCTGGACTGGCCGGGGCCACAGTGGCAGGCAGCTCTGCCCACAGATGCACCCGGAGCGTCCAGTCCCCAGGCCTCCACCCCCACCCCGACGCCAGGGGCATCTGTCCTGACCCCAAGGGCCCAGCACGGAGGACTTCTCCCAGCCGGCCAGATGTCCATCCTGGGAGCGGCATGGGAGGAAGCGGGCACAGACGGCAGACACAGAAGGATCTGAACGTGCACACCGTGGCCGTGGGCTAGCCATGGGCCTGGGTGAGTCCTTGACCACCAGGAACCCTGCACTGCTCACGTGGCCCCAGGGTACTAGACATCAGAGGCCAGGCGTGCCTGCAGCTGCGCGGACACGGAAGAGATCAGTGGGGGCACGGTAGCCTGGCCTGTGCTGACCCTCAGCTGCCCCAGTCCCATCATCGGCCTCAGCGCTGTCTGGCCTGGCCCGTGAGGGAGCCGGAGGGGCCAGGAGGTCTTGACCCACGGGAGGCCGTGCTGGGGTCTCCAGCCTCGAGGGACTGGGCCCCAGGGAAGCGAAGTCCTCAGTCCTTGGTCAGAGCCAGAAAAGCCAGCCTCATATCATGAATAGGGAAGCTGAGGCAGCAATGAGGCTGTTTCGGGCCTGTTCCCCACCCTGTGGGCCCCAGCTTTGGCTGCCCTGGGGCCACATGTGAGTGTGGACATCCACCATCTGGACACACCAGGCACACAGGCCGTCTCCCCTCCGCTCCCAGCAGGCAACACGCCAGGCACCCTGGACCCGCCCACCGCCTTCCAACAGGCTCAGCCCTGGGGTGAGTGGGCGGCTGACACCCCCGCAGGACCCCTCCAGGCAGACTGAAGCCACCGACGGCCCATCCCCAGGGCCCTGTGCCTGGCTATGCACTGGAGTGGGGGGCAGGAGGTCCTGGGGCTGTCCAGCAGAGGGTCGTGCCCGCAGGGAGCAGGGCTGGATGTGTGTGGGTGGGAGGCCATCCCAGCCCAGGGGGAGCCTCGAGGGAGCCTTGTGACGTGTGGTTTGCACTGGTGCAGGAAGGGGGCTGCGTTCTCTGTCCTTAGAGACACGTGCCCCAAAGACGAGTCAACGTCCTTCTGTGGCCTCCTCAGCCAAAGACGACGACTGTTTCAAAACTTGATAAAAATCATAGCATAAACCAAATAATTACGTAATATTTTTGGGAACCAAAATATTCAGTATCGAGAGATACAATGTCAGATCAGTGGGATTAGGTGAGGACCCCACACGGCTCGACCTGATTTTCCAGTGGCATGTGGGTCCAGGTACCACGAGGAAGGCCACGGGAGCTGGAAGCCCGGCCACGTGGATTGGGTGTGATGCAGTTTCCTGAGTTTTGCTGGGAGGCCTGCTGCCCTCGGGGACACTGCTGAGCCCCACGGGGGCCCGCCCGGCAGACAGCACACGGGGCCAGGCGCCAGCGTGGGGTGGGGATGGAGCAGAGATCCGACGGAAAGCCAGCCGGGGCTGACGAGGCCTCGCCGTGCCCTCACTTCTGTCGGCCCACTCTGCTCCCTCTGCGGGAGGCCCTCTAGCTTAAAGGGGATGCTGGCTCACTGGTGCCCGGCTTCGGGGCACCCTGGTCACCCGGGTAGAACTGCCTGACGAGGTCCCTCTTGTTGATCTTCCCCATCTGGTTCCGCGGGATCTCCTCCACCAGCAGGAACTCCGAGGGCACAGCACACGGGGCCAGGACACCCCTGCGGAGATAAGCAGCCTCTGAGCAGCAGGCACTAGGGGCCCGGACAGCTCCCCGGGATAAGCATCCTGGTCCCCCGGGGCCCCGAAGCCCAAGCATGTGCCGTACCCGCCCCGTGTCGCTGCTGTGGACGCGAACACGGAGACGTGGGGGCCCGTGTTCCAGGCCCACCCATGGGCAGAGGCCAGGCCTCCTGGAACAGAAGAGCAGGTCCCGCTCTGGTTGTCACAACAGCAGGCCGCGGCCAGACGCGGGAGCAGGCAGGTGGGCAGACCCCTGGGCTGGTGGTCCCGTGCGCTGGGGCAGCACTCCCCACAGAGCCCCGTCTGAGCAGTGGGAGAGGCTAGTCTGTTGGTCCAAGAGCTGCTCTGCTGCCCGTGCCCCCACGGGGGCCCTGTTAGACGGTGCGTTCTCCGGCGAGGGGCCCCGTGGACGGGTCTGGCCACCCCCAGGCTCTACTTGGAAACGTCTCCTTAGGCGGCAGGCACCGGTTTTCTCAGGAGGCCCCGTCCAAACCACCAGGCAGTGTGAGTCTGGGGCCGGCAGGTGTGTGCGGCCTTGCAGCCCGCAAACTGTGGGGGCGAGCTCAGCCACAGGAGTGGCACTGTGCTGAGCCCACCGTGTGCGGCGACAGAGACCCGGACTCTCAGCCGTGGTCACCGGGTGCTGCTCTCCTTTGTGGGCGGGGTCCACACGCACACCAACCCTGCACGTCAGCAACAGCCCACGGAAGGCACCGTCAGCCTGGGGTGGCTCACGCTGAAGGCAGCAGCTCAGGCCAGCACGGGGGTGGGACGGCTCGGGGTTCGGGTGCTGGCTCGTCAGGGCAGAGGGTGCCCCCGCCCACAGTGCTGGCGGCTACGGGAGACAGCCGGCGGCACACAGGGGAGGACTGGGCTGGACTTGGCGGGATAAGCCACGGGACTGTCCGAGGGACTCTGGTGGCACGGAGCTGGCATCAAGAAACAGCCCCTCGGAGCACCGCGGCCTCGCTGCCCAAACCCCGTGTGTCCAGGGGTGTGTGCTTCCCCTGCGGCAGCAGCGAGCCGATGCCAGGGCCCAGGGCAGGAGCCCCAAGACTCTGCTGGTCCCCGTGCTGGGCGGCCTGGTGAGCAGCCAGCGGGGCGCCGTCCCCGTCACCTGAGCAAAGCGCCCTCAAGAACGAGGTCAAACTTAAGGCATTTTCAGACAGAGATGCTGACAGTCCCCGGGCGGTCGGGCAGCAGACAGGAGCGGGCAGGCCCCAGGGGGCACAGGCTGGGACACACCTCATTTCCTGAGGACTGAACCCTTTTGGAGAGACGACGCTGGGACAGAAATACACTGGTTTGAGTCGCATGAATCCGGTTACGTGGGGACTTTTTGATAAACATAGCAGAGGACTGAAAATGCGTTTGGTCTCCCTTGTGATTTTCTCCGTTTCCTTTCCTGCAGCTCGCGTCCCTGCAAGAACACGGGACAGGACGCGCACAGCGCAGAAACTACGTGCCGATCGGCCGTTCTTGGTAAGCGGGTGAGTCTGTTCCAGGCCCAGCCACGCTAAGAACGAGGTGAACGTCGGGGGAGAGCCGCGGAGGTGGGTGGCCTGCGCAGGTGGGGGCAGTATGTGAGAACCCGGCGTTAGGAACCCCAACCTGCAGCTGCTTACAAAAGGCACAGGAGTTAGAAAGTGACAGAGAAGCATCCGGAAGGATGGCTGGGGGCCCCGGCATTTCCAGAATGTGTTTGCACGGCAGACGCCAGGGGCCAGCCGGGACTCCTTTGAAAGGCTGAGCTCAGTGAGCGGTGGAGCGAAGCCGTTTGGGGAAAAGCAGTCTTCCCGGGGCCGCGGGCCGTGGAGCAGGTGCTCTCCTGGGAGGAGGGACGGCCTACACAAAGTGAGGACGGGACGCTAAGCCGAAGCCCACCACTCCTCTGGGGGCTCATGGGACATCAACTGTGGGTCAAGACCACGGATCCTGGATTCCTCCTTGGGTGTAAACCCCACGTCCCTTTCCGACTTGGTATCTCGGGGATAGGAGGGTAGTGGGTGGGCCGCGTCCCAGGCACAGATGTGCTGCTGCCCTGCTCCACACCACATTCACTGCCTCGCAGGGACATGTGGCCTGAGCCCCCGACTCGGCCTGGGGAGCACCGGCTGAGGGAGGAATCGTCAGAAAGGAAAAACGTGGGAGCGCAGACCCGACACAACTTCACTAAGGGCCACGTCCAGGAGAGGCGGACCTGCCCGCCATGGGCTGTGTGGCCTCGGTGTCGCCGCCCAGCGACTGCCTGGCTTGAGGACACAGAAGCCTGGACGTCGGCCTCACTATCCTGGAGATGGCAGTCGGCTGCCCGCCCTGACCTCTTAGGGGTGTCGCCTGCCCCCACCCCAAGCGCACAGAGTACCCGCCTCAGGTCTTCCCGCGGCCACGGTCCCAAGCCTGACCCGTGCGCATGGGCTGCCCGCGACCGGACCCCGACTCTCCGCGGACAGCTCCACACTGGTGACTGGCGTTTAAGCAAAACCGCGACAGCGACTAGAACACCGGCTCCCAGTGTGCGTCGGCAAACCCAGTGGAGCACATCGCACAGCCGCGCTGGCCCTCACGGAACAAGGGCTTCTGTTCCTTGTGGAATCGTGCTGGACGAACCAAAAATGCCTTTAGCACCGAGGAGGGAGGCACGTTGGGAAGGAGGGGTGCAGAGAGACAGCAGAGGAAGGAGAAACTTCCCAGACTGGAAATCAAGAATTTGGGGGACATCACTAACCGCATCGAGCTTGGGACCGTGGCCACACTGCCCGCAGCCCCCACCCCCGTGGTCCTTCGGGCTCTGGCGTGACTGACGGTGGGGCACCGCAGGCACGGGGAAGGGAGCCTGTGTGTGTCGGCACACGGAGAAAGCCCTGGAGCCACGGCACGTGGATACAGAGGTCTGGGGACGGTCTAACGTCAGATGAAGCTGGGCCCGCAGGGACACAGTGTGACAGGACAGCGCTGCGGTGGGGGCACAGGCCGGGGGACAGCCGGGGCCCCAGCTCCCCAAGGCCATGTTCAGCACAGGGTGGGTGGGTGGGTGAGGGAGGACGGAGGCTCTGTGCCTATGGGTTCCTCCCGGAGCCGAGAGAACACCCTGTGCCCCTGTGCTGTGGCTGGGCCGCCCACCCTGTGGTCCTGGCTGTCTCTGTCCCCGGCGACCGTTACGCGGCTCCCTGCAGCAGTCCTTTGCGTGTTGGGGGCAGCCGTGGGAATGTAACGTCACCTGACCTTCCAGGCAACCCCTCGACCCTGAGCTGGACAGCGGCAAGACCCAAGTCACTCCCCCGTCCCCTTCTCCAGCCCCACGAGTGCCCCCGCCTGTCCCTACCTTGCCCACTCTTTGAGCTCCCTGTGGGACGGCGAGTGTCCCTCTTGAAGGGTCACCACTGCAGTGACCCGCTGGCCCCACGTCATGTCTGGAACTCCAATCACAGCCACATCTGCGGACAGAGGGGAGGCCATGCTGACTGCTGTGGGCTGGGGACATGCCCACAGGGGAGGGGCCCGCATGGGCTCAACACAGCTGGTCCTCCCAGGGACGGGGCGAGGCCTGGTTCCCGCGCGTCTCCCAGGTGGAGCTCAGGGTGGGGGCTGGTTTTCCCGAGTCCCTGTCCTCCCTGCACTCCCCAGGGATGGCGACAACAACCAGTGAGCCCCGCGGGGGGGCCTCAGCCTGTGACCTGAGGTCAGGGGCAGGTCTAGGTAGGCTCCACGCTTCCTGGACCGGCGAGCACCAGTGCCCACTCAGGGCAAGCAGGGGCTCAGCCCACGGTCACGGCGAGCAGGCCGGTGCTGCTGAGGTCAGGCCGGGACCCTGGCCGCAGGGCCGAGCACAGAGGGTCCCCACTGGGTGCGGCCCAAGGGCGAGTCACCTGCCTGGGTGTGTCCACAAGCAAACACAGCTGGAGGCCCGTCTGAAGCGTTTCCAGGACGGGGCCCGCAGCCAGCTTGCCATCGGGGGTCCCTGCCACGGGGCTGGGGGCCACGTGCCTGTGATGCTGGGGTGCGCCAGCAGCAACCGCTCCACCTCCAGGGCGCTGACCTTGTAGCCACCGCTCTTGATGATGTCCACGGACGTGCGGCCCCGGATCCAGTAGGTGCCGTCCTTAAACACTGCCGTGTCGCCTAAGGACGGGGCTCTGTCAGCAAGACGTGCGTCCCGGGGCCCCGCCTGTTTCGAGGGGCACACGCGTGGAAGCAACGTCCCCACTGTCACAGGCCAGCTGCCCGTGTCTGGGGCACCGACACCCCACACGGTGACTGTGCTGGGACGGCCGTGCACGTGGGCTGTTTCGGGACAAGGCGGCAAGCATGAGGCTCACCGGCTCTGACCTCAGCCTGGGGTCTGACCGCGGATAGCCCCGTGCAGACAGCAGTGTCCCCAGCGGCTGACAGAGTGAAGACCAGGGCTCCGAGGCAGGACGGCTGGGCTGTCACCACCCAGCTCGGTCCCTTCCCGTCCTCTCTCAGGCCCGTGCAACAGAGAAGAGGCGGCTGCTCCCGCCAGCCCACTGTGGGGTCCCGGTCACGGCAGGGTCCTAGTGGAGAGGACCTCCCTGTAGCACCCCCCATTCTTGGGGTCTCCCGGGCTGCAAAGAGTCCCATGGACTCTCCGAAACGCTCCTGTCCCTCTGCACCACGGTGTGGTTTCCCACTGGGCTTCCCCGCATGCTGGCCACCCCCCCCGCCGGAAGCCAAACCGGTCCTCTTCCAGGCCATGCTGGGCAGTGGGATGGTCAGTGGGTAGGGGCCAGCGGGGGCCAGCCCAGAGCAGGGAGGGTGCAGGGGCGGCGGGCCCGAGTGTGTGTGGACACACGTGGACGGATGTGTGTGTGTGGACGTGTGCACGTGGATGCACGTGCCTGTGCAGCCACCCCGCCGGGCCCCTGGGAACAGCGCTGGCGCCACCCGCCTGTGCTCCCACGGCCCGAGCACTGGGTCATGAGCTGGGACACAGCGGGGGTTTCATTACGAGTCACAGCATCCACGCAGGAAGGCCCCATCCGTCACCTGCCACTCCCCGACCCGCTGCGCCCCAGGCACGAGCCCGTCTACTAAACCAGACAGACGCTGTGCGTGGGCGGGTGGCCGGCTCACTGATGGTGGCGTGGGAGGGCCAGGCTCCAAGAGGACAGGCCGCGGGCGTGGCGGGTTGTCTCACTGACAGGAGGCAGAGGGAGCCAGAGATGTTGCAAGTGCCTCAAGGGCGTTGTGGCCGCAGGACGGCCTGACAGGGTGGCGGCTGGCTGGCGGGAAGGCTGCAGGGGTGAGGGCCGCAGGGAGGACTGGGGTGGGAGACCTGCTGCGGGTGTTGCGAGGCCCACTGTGCTCCCCATATCTGGCTGCGTCCCCTCCCCACCGGACGGTTGTGTGCGCCCCGAGAGCTTCCTGACCACCAGTCACCTGCTCCTTAAAGGCACCGATGGGCCCAGTCCAAGCTGTCACTAGCTCATGCTGTTGGACGGACACTGCACCAGCCCAGGGTCCCTCCAGGGCTTTCCTGGCCCTGCTCCCAGCACCTCCACTCACCCAGAGACCCTGCCGGGTGAGGGACCCTGCCCCGGGCTCAGGCTCCTGTCTCCGGTCCTGCCAGAGACATCCCGCCTGCCCAGATCACGGCTGCTGAGGCTCGGGGGGCGTCTCCCCGACACGGCAGCTGCCCCCCAGGCTCTTCTTCCAGTCCTGCCCTGACCGCCAGGGGAGGCGGTGGCAGGCTCTGGCTCGCCTCCCCAGATGGGCCTGCCCTGCTCTCCGGGGACCCCTCTCCACGCTGCCTGGAGACCCAGAGAAGCCGGCCACGTCAGTTCTGAGCACAGGACCTTGCGGGGGAGGGGTGCACAGGCTGATCAGGGGACATACTCGGAACCGAGGCCCAGTCCGCAAGGCTGCTCGATGTCCCGGAGACAAGGGCCCTCAACGCCCTTTCCTGGCCCTTCTGCTCTGTTTGCTTGATGCTGTATCCCAGCAGAGACGATGGCTGAAGGCCTGCGCTGTCCCCCAAACTCCCACGAGTCTCTAACCCATGGGCAGCCCACTTCCGGAGGGCAGGACGTGCTCAGGGCCAGGACGGGGGTCAGAAAGAGGGGTCCTGGGCAGCGAGGGTGGGAGCCGTGTATGCAGAGCCTGACATCTGGGTGCGACCGGCCAGCTACCTGCCGTGCTCCCCAGCGGGACAGAGCCCTGAGCGCAGGGATATGGGGAGGTTCTAGGAAACTAAACAGAGCAGGAAAGTGGGACAGATGTGCTACGACATCAGGGGAGCTGCTGGTAGTCCTCATGGACTCCGTGGGCCTGGTGGCGCCTGTCACCCACAACGGGAAGCAACACCCGCCTCCCAGACACGGTGCGATGTCCACACCAACCCACATACACACACGCTCAGAGGCGGGGTACGCCCTGACCGGCACACCCGCCCGGGCTCCCGTGGGCACCTGGAGCCTTCCCTCTGGTACCACGTGACGCGCTTGAGGCCCAGCCTGGGGATGGAGGTCCCTGCCTCGCCTGGACACCAAGTTGCCTGCCCTGCGGCCAGCGTCTGGCCCTGCAGCTGGGGAGATGTGGGCTGAGCCCGGCCGGCGGCACCCAAGGGCCCTGTTTTGGGCAGTGACACCCGGCATGGGCCTGCTCCGACTGCCCCAGGAGACTGTCCCGTGCCTTCCCAGAGTGCCTGCCTCATGAGAGATCGGGTGCGGCACACAGAGCCCCGGCCAGGGGACATGATCTCAAGGGAGTGATGTAGAGGGAAAAGGCCAGTCCCCAGAGGGTCTGCTCGTAGGGTCTGTCTTCATGCCATTCCCTGGACGACAAGCAATGGGGGCGGAGGGGGACAGACGCGTGGCCGCAAACCAGCGCGGACGCACACGCCTGATGAGGGCAGTGAGCACACACAGCTGGGCACACGCGTGTCAGGCTGGTAGACCCTGGATGAGCCCCAGCATGGGCTCTGGTGTCGTGCTGGTGACGAGGACGCGGACACTGGGCAGAGGGATGGGGGTGCACAGGGCCGCCCAGCTCGCCACCTGCATCTCCCGACCGCACAGAAAACACGTTAAGAAACCGCTGTTCGGTTTGTGGAGAAGTCTCTGCCTCCCCTGGGGGGCTCACCCAAAGCTGAGTCACCCGTGTCGGCACACACACGATGACTCCGCGAGTTTCAGGAAGGATTCTGCGCTCACTCAGGACCCAGAAGCACGCACAGGAACCCCTGCTGTGAGGCGTACTCCTGTGCCGCTGAGGTCATCTGTCTGCCAGGGGTCAGCAGCCTACGCCTGCTGGGAAACACCCGCCCTGCTCTCCGGGGCGGAAACTGGGGTGCGCAGGGGTGCAGGGCGGCAGCTGAGAACCCAGCCCCCCGCTCTGAGCCTGCACGTCAGGCCCCGTAGGCCCCACAAGCCTGGCACGGGCTGTTCCTGGCATCGCCCCCACACGGGGCTGGGGGGCAGGGGTCAGGTCGGGGGCAGCTCGTATTGGGTCGGCTCCCCCTGGCCATGGGACAGCTCGGCCTCCCCCGTGTCTTTCCCACTCTCAGCCCCCAGGGATGGCCACGCTCTGTAGGGCAGAGAATCAGCCGAACGGCTCCCAGAACCGCAGGACGTGGTGTCCCGAGCGCCAGCAGGAGGAGGGACGTCAGAGTCAGAGCACCCAAGGCACTCGGCTTGTCCCACGAGGACTCTGGGATCGAGAAAATTCTCCTCCAAATTTTCCTGGAGGAAAAGTTCGTATGGTGCCAGGAAGGACGCGGCTACGGAAGCGGGGAACGGATAAGGAGGGTTTCTAACCCTGGAGTCTACCTCGCCTGCCGAGCAAAGACACTACGGGACACACGCCCCCCTGAAGTGCACCCACACACCTGCCGTCAGGAGGCTCCTGGGGACGCAGCCCCAGGCTCTGGAGCAGAAGGGCAGGAGGGGCCTGGTGGGACGGCGGGCACAGGGGACTCCCAAGCAGGCAGGGCGGCCCTCAGGGAAACAAGAGGACAGAAGGACCCCGGTCCCCAGGAGACTCAGGCCTCACAGTGCATACCTGGCACTGGAGCCACGAAACGTGGCCCCTCCGAGGGGAGGATGGGTGTGAGGAGTGGCCTCAGAGCCCAGGTGTGAGCGGCTACTGCTCTCAAGCTGGTAAAACCAGCGGCTCTTCCGGCGACACACGTCACTCTGCCTACATACAATCACCCTGCGCCCAGGGGCCTGGGACTGACGAGGGGATGGTGCGGCGACCACAGGAGCCGGCCCGCGTGCAGCTGGAGCCTGATGTCGACAGAGGGAATGCCGTCTCTTGTCACCACTGGGCACCCCGTCACCGCACACGGAGGCCCGTTCCTGCGGGTCCAAGACTGGCTTCACGAGGGCCACGCCGGCAAGGGCAGAAGAACCCCGGGAAACAAAGGACTTTGAAGCCAGGTGACAGAATGCGGCACAGCACGGCCAAACCTTCCATGCACAAACCTGCCAGCACAGCGGCCTGGCCATGTGCGCACTGCACCACCGGTCCCGCCGAGCGTCCTTGCAGGGGCGACCTTGCCTCCCGGGTCAGCGAGGCGCACGGGTCATGACGGCCGTGGCCTCCACGCACCCACACCTGCGAACATGCAGCCCTTGGCCCAGCTCCTAACTGTGACTCACCGGCCAAGATGGAAGCTCTCCTACCGGAGAAGGAAAGCAGAGCCCCAGCTGCGGCCAGGCAGGGCGGGAGCAGAGCAGACACCGCGTCTGTCCGAGAGGCATGATGTCGGCTCAGCCTGTGCCCACTGTGCCCTGAGAGCAGCCATGCCCATGGAGGGAGCGCCGAGAGCTCCAGGAAAGGAAGGGGTCCTCCCCCAGGTGATCGCGGCCGGTGGCTGCGGGAGCCCAGCACACACACAGACGTCACCCATTCCCGTCGTCGCTCTCCAGAACCCGGTTTCTAAAGGCCTCCCGACCCCTGTGGCCGGATACCTCCCAACACGGGCAGCAGCCCCCACGGCCAGGCGCAGGGGTCTCGCCTCACACTTCACAAGTAACACCGCAGATGTCCGTGCCTGGCTCTGCCCGCCCCTCAGCTGCCCTGTGATGGGGGTCCCAGAAACACTCCTGACCCACGGGCCCACCTGCAGAGGGAACGCAGCTGCCTCACGGTCAGGATCTTTTAAATCCGGTGACGGGGGTGCCTGGGTGGCTCCAGTGGGTCAAAGCCTCTGCCTTCGGCTCGGGTCATGATCTCAGGGTCCTGGGATCGAGCCCCGCTTCGGGCTCTCTGCTCAGCGGGGAGCCTGCTTCTCCCTCTCCCTCTGCCTGCCTCTTTGCCCGCTTGTGATCTCTCAAATAAATAAAATCTTTAAAAAAAATAATAAATTCGGTGACAGCAGTCCATCTCTGTCTCTGTATTTCTCTCGCTCATCATAAGGAAGTGAGACCGCGTCTTATGTTTTTTCACGGCCAGCTGCTCTGCCTCCTGGGATCCGCCTGTTGCCTCTGCCGTTCCCCCCAGGGCTGCCTGGGCACCGAGAGCGAGCCACGGGGGCGCGGCTCTGGAGAGCTCTGGAGAGCCGACGCCCGCCAAGGCCCCCTCCGTCCCTCTGCCGTGTCTCCGGGATGCTGGACTCTGGGAGGGACGTCACGTGCGTGCCGTGGAGAAGGCAGGAACCCGTGATGCTCTAGCGGCTTCTCTCCGCCCACCCTTGTCCCCTCAACCAGGGCACCGATGTGGAACAATCGAGCCGTTTACCAGGCCCACGTCCTGATGCGAGACAGTGGACGCCAGAGCATCGTTAGAGGAAGTCACAGGCTGTCTGCGTCCTGACACTCAGCCGTGTCTTTAACACAGAACCGCTCGGCAGAAGGCCTCAAAGGCAGCAGGAACTGTAACATCTGCTCACTCGGTCCCCCTCCGTCCGTGTCCTCACCTCCCTCCCAGGTCACCTCCGTGTCCTCATCTCCGTGTCACCTCCGTTCCGTGTCACCTCCGTCCCGTGTCCTCATCCCCGTCCCACGTGCCCTCCGTGTCCTCACCTCCGTCCCGTGCCCGCACCTCTGTGTCCTCACCTCCGTCCTGTGTCCCCACCTCTGTGTCCTCTGCTCTGGCAGTGAGGTCAACAAAAAGGGTTGAGGGCTGGGGGCGCCCGGAACCCTTGTCCCGCTGTCCTGGGCTAGCGCCGGGGCCGTGTGTGTGTCGAACGGCTTCTCTCCGGGGCGCTGCTGTGCCCGTGAGTTAGGGTTGGGAGGAGATGCCTGTGGCGTTGGGCAGAGTTTCTGGGGGTGATGGTGGGTCTCCTCTGCAGTGGCCACGACCGCTGGGGCTTTCCGAGGGGCTCCTCGCGCATCTGCGGGAGGAGGGGATGGCGGCGGGGCGGGGAGGGCAGGACTGGCTGGTGACCTCTCTGCTCTCGTCCAGAGGTGGGCCAGGCCCTCCCCCAGGCCCCCCGCAGCAGCTCTCCAGCTCCCACCAGAACCCCGTGGCAGGAGGGGCTGGCCAGGGAAAGGGTTAAGTTTAATTTATCCTGATTTCTATTTAATATCGCGCTCTCCCTGCAGGGGCGGCAGCTGCGAGCTGATTGTGCCCACACATTATGCAGCCTGTGTCGCTAATGGCCTGTGACAAAGGCACACGGCTTCCAGGCCTCACCCCCGAGAGCCAATTAAACACACACGCTCCCTTCCTGTTTGCGGCGCATTACAATGAAATTAAACTGAATTTCAAAATCATTTTCTCCTAAAGACATCTCTTTACAATAACTAACGCGCGCTATTCCTTTCCAGCGCACACATTCATCAGCCACGGCCGAACGTTCTCAGGCTGACGGCCCCGCACTTGGCCTTGGGGCCTCCGGGCGCCAGAGAGCTGCGTCCAGCAAATCCACAGGGCTTGGGGCCCCGTGCCCGTAACGAAAAACCCTTTTATCTGAATTTAAAAATAAAAGATGATGGCCACACTGGGACCGTTCAGAGGCTGCAGGAGGGACGTCCAAACCCGCACGAGAGGGACGACGACGGAGAGGCCCAGGGTCAGACCGGCTCGCGGGAACCAGGGAAACCAGCTGGGTGTGTTCCCACGCTGACCGCACCCGCACACAGAGACAGGACGTCCCGAGAAACGGGACCAGGGCTCCCAGGGCCCGACCCCAGAACACTCGCTCCCCCGTCAGGTTCCCAAGGTCCAGCCTTGCTCTGAAGGCTGATACACGTCCACGCTGCCAGCCCTCCCTAACCATCACATGCCCGCGTCCTGTGCCCGGCACGGAGGGAGGGGGAGCCTGGACACCGCCCCTAGCGGCCGCTGGGACGCGCTTGTCAGGCACAGAGCCGAGAACCCCAGACATGCCCCGGGACCACGGGGCAGACGCAGGACTGGCCAGGACCACCAAGTGTGGACCCAGTGCCACCTGGCAGGGAGACAGGAAGGGGGTTCTTGACACCCCCACCAGGAAGACCCTCCACCGGCCGCCTTCAAACGAAACCCTCACCTGTGTCAGGAGCCGCCACAGACCGAGACTGCCAGGGTCCACGAGTCCCTGCTCTGCCACTCAGTGACCTCAGGACTGTGACAGCAGCAGAGGAGAGTGGACACACGACCTCCCATGCCGACCCGAGCCCAGCGAGGCGCCCGAGCAAATGCTGTGTGGCCGCGAGACTAAGGAACACGGCCGCCCGTCCCCCGCCGCCCCGCCCCATGGCTCTGTGCCCCGCAGGACAGGAACGGAGGCAGACTTCTGACGGTGGGGCCGCACGCAGTGGTGCATGGAGCAAGGCTCTCTCTTCGGAAAATACTGTCCGAAGATGACTGTGCAACAACGCACTGTCAGCAAAACTCATACAAACACGGACGGGTGGGAAGAAAGGAGGAACCGCCCAGAACCCGACCACCAACCCGCCAGGAGGTCGTTCTCAGTGAGCTACAACCGTAATGTTCAGTGTCTGCCACCAAGTCTCCATTTCGGGACCACTGGGGCCAAGGAGGGAGCCGGGGGACCCTGAGCAGCTCTGGGTCCTGCCGGAAGGGACTGCTGGCACACCAAGCACAGGGCCCCGGGTGCTGGGGGAGAATAATGGAAAACGACCCAAAAGAACAAGGAACCAAATCCTGCCAGAAGGACCTAGATCCTGGGGGGTGGGGATGGGCGAGACGATTTATAAAGCGGGAGCTCGGGGCAGGCGGGGGAAGGGCCGAGGAGGCTCTCTACATCCAGGCCCTGTCGCGGCCCTCCTTCTAGAGGTTGCTGGGGCCCTGGGGCAGGGTGAGGACGCAGCCTCGAAGACAGGAGACACAGAGTGCATCCCACCCCATCTCTGCCCTGGACAGAAGATCCTGGGGTGTCCAGGCCGCCCCCCACGGGTCCCCCTCCTACCTGTCTTGAACCAGCCATCCCAGGTGAAGGCACGTCTCGTTTCTTCTGGTTTGTCCCAGTATTCTCGGAACACAGATGGCCCTCTGACCAACAGCTCCCCTTCCTTCTCCTTGAACCCTGGGGTCACCTGCAGCATGGGAGGCAGTGGACCCCTCTCAGGATGGGGGCTGCACCTGCCTTTCTCGTGACCCTCCTCACCACACCCTCTTCTGAAATTGGACACGTCGTTGGAAATGATTGAAAATGCGTCTTTCAACAGTAGACCTCAGGTGGACACCACAGCAGGGAGTGTGTGTCTCTGTGTTCATCCTCTAGACTTGAAGCCAGGAGTCGCTGACCCATGTCACAGGGCCTGGCTGGATTCGAGCTGCCCGTCCACTTCTCAGAGTGTGCCCCTGGCATCGAAGACTCTCCCTTTTCGGAGTGTTTCCTGCGCACTCCACAGCACATGGGAGGCTTGGGGACATGGCCAGCCGCCACAGCACACACACGGCTCCGGCAGCTCCCGTGGGGCCTTCCGGAGGTGGTCACTTTGCTTGGGGAGAAGGGAGCTGAGCACGCAGCCACTCAAGAGAGGACGGGCCGGCCTCAGGTGCCTGGGACAGAGGGCGCCCAGATCGCGTGGTCCTGGGGAGTGGCGGGGGCGGGGGGTTCACGTCTCTGCTGTGACCACAGGGCAGGGCAGCGCAGGAGGGAGGCGGGGCTTTACAGGAAACGGAGAAGGGCTCCAGCGAAGCCAGAAGAAGGCGCAGAGCACGCGCACATGTGGAGGCCCTGCGGGAGGCCGTCCTCACACAGAGCGAAGGTGACCGAACGGAGGCCAGGGACCCTCCGGTCTGAAGCTCAGCTCCCACCCGGAATGAACTTATTCTGGGGAAGAACCATCCCTTCGAAAAGGCTGTCAAACTGTCAGGCTCACTGTCTGAGGCCTGGACGCAGTCCATACTTCCAAGGCCGACGGCGGGCGGCCGACCAGAGCCGATCCCGCCCCTGCAGCTCTCCGCTGACATCGCAGCCCACTCCCCACGTCAGGGCCCAGTGCTGTGCCTGCCATCCGGCCTGCCTGGAGGATGTCTGTTTCCCAACCAAACCAGGCTTTATTTCACCCATTTTCCCACTGCTGCCCTTGGTCTGATCCACTGCCAAGGCGAGACCATCTTCTTGCCGGAGATGGGGGACCTACTTCCAAGCATCAGCCCCGAATCCCAGATCCAGGGTAAGTAATGAGCAGGGGACGCCTGGGGGGCTCCGTCAGTGAAGCGTCTGCCTTCGGCTCAGGTCATGATCTTGGGGTCCTAGGATGGAGCCCCAGGTCAGGTTCCCTGCTCAATGGAGTCTGCTTCTCCCTCTCCTTCTGCCCTTCCCCCCGGCTCATGCTCTCTCTCTCTCACACAAATAAATAAAAATCTTAAAAAAAAAAAAAAAAAGTAACATTCAGGATGGAGGAAAAGACAAAGACACCTGTAGATACAGAAGAAACAACGGAACTTGTGACCAGCTGGTCTCATCTAAGGAATTACCAGGGAATGTTCCTCAGAAGGGAAACGATGCCGGAGTTAACATGAAAACTCAGAAATGAAATAAAACCAACAGAATCAGTAAATACTTGGGTGAGTAACACTGACCATTCTGTTGCTCACGAGTTCTTTAAAACAGTTCAGAAGGCAGAAAGCAAACACGTAGCACTGTCTCTCGGGCTTTACCCTCCATGCAGGACTCCACACGACAACCAGACCACACAGGCAGACGGCAAAGCGACCAGGATTCTGTGCCTGACCAGGCTGCAGCTGGGCTCCCGAAGCCTCTCCTAGGCCACCTGGGCCCCTCCTGTGACATCTGGTTCTAGCAAGAACCCCGCTCCATCAGTTCAGCAGGAGCCCCCCACCCTGACACCCCATCACCCTCAAATCTATCACCCCCAGGTGACATCTGATCACCCCAGCCTGCCCTCAGAAGAGAACCTGGCAGGTCGGTTTAGCCAGAGTCCCCACTCAGCCCTGATGTGTCCCCTCAGCAAGTCTCCACCCGCTGACCCCACCCGCTGCCCGGAGCGAACGTCCACGGGCCCGCGCGGCACTCAGAGCTGGGACACCCGGCTGCGGGGGGCCCACAGCTTCCCCGTGGTCCTGAGTCCCATCCACCTCACCACCTCCAACAAGGGTCACTGAATGTCTTCTCTCTGACCCCAAGAGTTCTGCTTCTCCAGGACTGGTGAGGACTGGTCTAAGCAGGTCTCAATACGTACCGTAGCCCCCAGAACTACGAAACCCGTCCAAGAGCGTAAGGTCAGGAGCTCGAGCACTGAATGACAGTGTAACACTGAGGAATGAGTTCAAAGAGGCCTGAAAGGGCAGACGAGCGACGGGGAGCTGAGGGAGCTACTGTGGAGGGCAGCACACGGTGGCGGGAGAAGTTCGAGCACCTCCACCACCAGGTCAAATGTAAGCCCTGCCCTGGACACGCCAACTGGAAGACTGCGGACTGGACCGGAAAGCCGTACGTGATCCAACCCTATACCGTCTGTGAGAAACTCACCTCCAGGGCAGCGCCACAGGCAGGTGAGAAGCAAGGGGACAAGACCACGCACAGCACGGACACCAATCAGAACAAAGTACACTGACCACAGCTTTATCAACACCAGACAAAGTCAACATACGAGCAAAGGACGGAGGACGGACGGTCTGGTCACCGAGATGACAGAACAATTAAACACGTGCATTCACCAAGTAAGAGACTTTCAAAATACATCAGCAAAAATGCAAAAGCAGAAACAGACAATGATGGTGGAGGAGTCACATATATCCCCCCACCCTCCCACCCAAGAACTGGACCGACGCTCATGGAGCAGTGGGGCCGGGCAGCACCGACCACGGTCAGTGGCCTGACGTCTGTGTTGCAGCACTACCAGAAGCATGCGCGTCCACCAGGAAGGCCATGTTTGGGGGCACACACACGCTTTCACAAATTTAAAGGAACTGGAATTGTATCCAACAAGCTTTGACTATAACAGAATTAAACTAAAAACGAGTAACAGAAAGATAACAATCTCCAAACACTTGGAAAACAGACAACACGCTTCTAAATAATCCATGAGTCCAAGATGTCTTAAGGGAAATAAGAAAATCAGGAAATATTTTGAAGTGAATGGAAATGAAACACATCAGAATTTGTGGGGGGGAGGGCAAGCCCCCACGGAGCTGAGGAAGATCTGGCCGGTAAATGCGTGAATTGGGAAAGGGGAAAGTAATAGAGAAAAATCACGGAATCCAAAACCAAGTTCTTTGAAAAAGGTTCAGTAACAGATAAACATCAAGGAAGAGTAACAACAAAAGAAGCAGAAGACACACACTGTCCACGAGAGAAACGGGCAGGCGCTACCTCAGACCACACAGTGTCCACAAGAGAAACGGGCACGCGCTACCTCAGACCACAGTGTCCACGAGAGAAACAGGCACGCGCTACCTCAGACCACACTGTCCATGAGAAAAACGGGCACGCGCTACCTCAGACCACACACTGTCCACGAGAGAAACGGGCACGCGCTACCTCAGACCACATGGTGTCCACGAGAGAAACGGGCAGGCGCTACCTCAGACCACACACTGTCCACGAGAGAAACGGGCAGGCGCTACCTCAGACCAACAGTGTCCACGAGAGAAACAGGCACGCGCTACCTCAGACCACACTGTCCATGAGAAAAACGGGCACGCGCTACCTCAGACCACACACTGTCCACGAGAGAAACGGGCACGCGCTACCTCAGACCACATGGTGTCCACGAGAGAAACGGGCAGGCGCTACCTCAGACCACACACTGTCCACGAGAGAAACGGGCAGGCGCTACCTCAGACCAGACGGTGTCCACGAGAGAAACGGGCAGGCGCTACCTCAGACCACACGGTGTCCATGTGAGAAACGGGCAGGCGCTACCTCAGACCACACTGTCCACAAGAGAAACGGGCAGGCGCTACCTCAGACCACACTGTCCACGAGAGAAACGGGCAGGCGCTACCTCAGACCACACTGTCCGAGAGAAACGGGCAGGCGCTACCTCAGACCACACTGTCCACGAGAGAAACGGGCAGGCGCTACCTCAGACCACACTGTCCACGAGAGAAACGGGCAGGCGCTACCTCAGACCACACAGGCACGAAAGGACGCATAAGGAGACACCGAGAAACACTGTGCAAAAATCCAACAACTTAAATGGATCAATTTCTCAAAAACCACACTCCACCAAAATTCACCCAAGATGCATTAAAGGACCTGAATAGTCCTATAATGATTAAGAAAATGAAATCATAGTTAAAATCTTCAAAAAAAGAAGCCTCTGGCTCCAGATGGTTTCACTGGTAAATTCTATTCAACATTTCAATAAGTATATAATACCAATTATATGCAGAAAGCACAAGAGGGGGATAATTCCCCTCACTTCATGATGCTAGCACTACTCTGATACCCAAACAAGACAAAGAAGCACAACAAAAAGAAACCTTAGATGCAAACACCCTCAGCGAAATGCTGGCAGACCCAATACAGCACATCTAAAATAAATGACACACCACAAGCAAGTGGGGTTTGTCCCAGGAATGCGAGGCTGATTCAATACTAGAAAATCAACCAATGTGATCTACTGTATTAGCAGCCTAATGAGAAAAAACCAGTTCATGTAAAAAAGCATCTGCCAATACGTCATCCAGGAGCACCAGGGGGCTAAGCTGGGTAACCATCCGACTCTTGATTTCAGGTCAGGTCATGATCTCAGGGCTGTGAGACTGAGCCCCATGTTGGGCTCCCTGCTCCTTGGAAGCCTGCTTCTTCCTCTCCCTTTTCCCCTCCTCCAGGAAAAAAAAGAAAATATTTCATCCATTCACGCTAAGAACTCAACATATCATAAGTAGAATGGAATCTACAAAAAGCCTACAGCCAATGTTATTTTTAATACTCTTCCCATTTAGCATCACACTGGAAATCCTCATCAGGGCAATTAAGACAAGAAGAAAAAATGAAAACATACAGATTGAAAAGGAGGAAGTAAAACTACTCCTACTTGGAGAAAACATGACTGTTGATATGAAAAATCCTAAAAAACCTACAAAAATACCTTCTAACTCTAAAAAGAGAATT